AGGGAGGGAGGGGAGGAGAGAGAGAGAATGATTTTAGTATACAGGCCCGGTCGGGCGTGACTCAGTGGTTAAGCATCGACCTAGGATCCAGGCGATCAGGGTTCGATTCCCGGTCAGGGCACATGCCCGGGTTGCGGGCTGCAGCCGATCAATGACTCTCTCATCATTGATGTTTCTAGCTCTCTCTCCCTCTCCTTTCCTCTCTCTGAAATCAATAAAGATATATTTAAAAAAAAAAAAAAAAAAAGAATATAGCATACAGGAGGGTTACGTAGAGAGCTTGTAAACACAGATTTTTGCATCCCGCCTCCAGAATTTCTCATGCATGTCAGAGGTGGGCCTGAATATTTGCAGTTACACCAACTTGCCAGGCAACGCTGATGATGCTGATTAGGGAACCACTCTTTAAAGACCCTCTCCCCATGATAGTCACTGATGTGTGTCTGGCTTGTGATGAAAGATGTAAGATGTCTACTGTTTTTTATTATTGTTGATTTTTAGAGAGAGGAAGGAGGAGAGAGGGAAACACAGGTCAGCTGCCTCCCGAGCGCACTCCAGCTGAGAACTGGGACTCGAACCTGCAGCCTGGCCCTGCGCCCGGACCGGGGAGCAAGCCGGCCGCCCTTGGTGCACGGGACGCTGCTCCGGCCACCTGGGCCCGGCCAGGGTGGGGTGGCTGAAGTTTTAAAAAGGTATATAAGTTAAAATGGAAGTTAAACATTTCTGAAGAACCATTTTTTCCCCTTTCAATTAGATTCATTAGTTCTCTATTCCACCAAAATTAGAGTAGGTTTCACTTACGAGGAAACATATAAATAAGCCTGTGTTTAGAGTCTAATTGTAAATGCAGAATATTTTAAAGGAAATTCATTCTCTATAAAAACTAGTATTAACACCAACCTCTGTGGACAACCTATAATAACATTCTTTTTAATGAACACCGTCATCGCAATGTGTTTATTAGTTGTTCTAAATAGGCAGCTATTTTATAATGTCTTTAAAATAAAAGTCTTGACCAAAAGTTGCTGACTGTAAATAAGTGTTGGTCTGGTCCTCTCTGTGAACTTTGCTGTTAGCCCGTTACAGTCAAAAGATTTAATTACAAAGCAATCTGAAAATATATTTCAGTTTCACATCTGGCAATGGATGAATGTTTTAAATAAAAAGGCATAAACATTTAAAAGGGAAGTGTTACATTTGCAAAGTTTTTAATTAGATCGAAATTCCAATATTTATTTTGTTTATGTGTTGTTGAATTTAAAGTTATGATCATGTGTGCTATCTTAACAGATTACAAAAAGCATGAGGGTGTCATAGAAAGGTTAAGCTATTTGAATGCTTATGTGAAGCTTTCATTATTGTTTGCATATAATTTTTATATAAATGACCACAGCGCTTGCATCCTAGAACAATAGTTATATCACAAAACACTGTATCGCTTGTGCCATAAGCATT